GTTTTGTGATGCAAAAGAAGAAAGTAATCTAATAAAATATATCGTAGAATACAAACATAAACATCCGTTAAATATCTCTAATAAAGTTTTCGAAATTAGGGTTTTGACCAATATTATGACACGGAATATTCAACTACTCTTCGCCAAAAGCGTCCAGTTCTCCATTAACTAGAAATTTTGCTACAACAAAAACGTCTGGAATTCGTCCCATTAACTATTCTTATATATAATATTCAATGTTAAAACTTCACTTCGCCAAAGTTCCATTAGATGTTTTCTGGATTAAGAAAAAATGTCCTCACATTACCGACAACGCCATCCTTCAATTTTCGATCACATATTCTTGTGAGCAAAGTTTTCAACTCTTGTTTTAATTAAAAATGTTAAGCGGTCATGCTTAAAAGTTCAAATATTGAGCCAAAAATAAAACTTTTGTGTCCATTGAAACATGTGCAGGTATCACATTAGTTAGTCATATTTTTTTGTTTTTTTATTGTGAAATTTGTGTATCAATATTACTATATATTACTTTGGTGTGTCGTGGGTGAGAATACGTGAGCACTTATTTAGATAAATGAGAAAATAAGAAAATAAGTTGTAAAAATTCCTTGTCTCTATTTTTTTGGGGAAAATTCGAAAACCAGTTTAAACAGATTTTGTATACAAGTTGAAATTATATACTAGTTGAATATATAATGAAAATACTTATCAGGAAAATATTACAAACCAATAATGAAAACAAAACTTTACAACAAAAAAACAAATGTATTTTATTTACACATTTTGGCACAATTGAAGACTTTTTGCGTTTAAACATTATGTAATTATGAAATAAAGAGATATTATATAATACAAAATATGTTTTTATTAAAAAAAATATACAAATTATTAATAATTATTATTATGAATTATACATGAATTAATATTAATTAAATAATATAACTAAAACCAACGAAAATGAAGGAATGTAGTTTAATACAAAGAAATTATTAATTATTCGAGAAACGAATAAGTAATGATTAATAATAAATGTCGTAGTCTAAAGCGATGCGACCATCCAACATAGTAGCAACTAAAAGATCAGAGAATTTGAAGTTTCCCTTATTCGCTATTAAGTTCTTTCTGTTCAGAAGACATTCCCCAACTAATTGGAACTTATTTTTAAAGATAAAATCATGAGTGGAATCCTTGATTCCGGATTTACGCTTAAAGATTTTCTTAATCTTTAACCATTTCGATTCACTCTTCTTGTCCACAAACTGCTGATTCTTAATACGAAGATTATAAATTGCCAAGGTTATAACAAAATCGGATGAAAGGCAATCAAAAATCATCTCATTATTAAAGCGTATGATCTCTGTGTCTTTCGATATCTGGGTAGACATCACCCTCAACCCTGACGTAGCGACACAGATATAATAATTAGTAAACATCTGTGCATGTTTCTCCAAATTCGATATAGTCAACTTATGAGTGAGCGAAATTGCCTTTAATTTCACTACGAATAAAGTATCTATCTCGGAATTGTGACATTCTAAAATCGGTAACTCTGATATAATTACTTGACGTTTCAATTCGGAAACCAACAGAATTCTTTCTTCCTCTGCTTCCTCGATACTCCCTGGCTTTGCTATGTCAACGGGTTTTCTAATCTGCAGCGTCGTTCGTCTATGTTTTTTGGTCTTTTTAAATAGTATCTTCCTCTTGTCATTGATGTCGTTTTTATCTCTTGGATGTGGAACATTGATATTTTCTGAACACACTGTCTTGGAATTATCATTTGTCTGTGAAGAAGACAATATGGCCAAAAACAATGCATCGTTGCCATCATCACCATAGCAGATGTCGTTCAGGTTGATGCTGTTCATTTGTGCACTTTCGTTAATATGTTTGGAATCTTCCGACTCTTTACATTTGCGAGCGCGATTTTTCTTCATCGATTTTGTAATTTCCTTCAAAAGACGATTCATCTTGTTCAGTTGTAGAGTGAAAATGAAACTGAAGTATATTCGCCAAATGCACAAGTAGTCCCTGCCGATGGGACACAAATGGGAGTTAAATGGAAAACATTATTATGGATGCGCAAAGAAAAAGACGCAAAGCAATTGTCCTTTTTTTATAAAGAAAAAGAAAACATATTTATAAAATCTTGAATATTTATAATAAACAAAACAAAATGTAAATACTTTCAAATACTTTAAAAATCATTTAAAAAATGGACAGAAAGACCTATAATGGTTAATTAGTTTTTATTTATTTTTTAATTATACGTTTTATTTTCTTATTTATTTATTTATGTATAATTTTACTTCAATATATATATTTTTAATTTAAATAATATATATAGTTTGATATTGTGGTCGTTAACTTCTTGCTAATATTATCCAAATAAATATATTTATATATTTCAAACTTGTAGTTATATTTTTTTATAGTTTATCTTAATAATAATATTTATTGAAACAGTTACATATTTTTTTTGTATATTCTACTGAACATTTATCAAATGTGTTCGTTGTTGACATTAGGAAGTTGCACCATTTCATAACGTTTGTATATAATATTTATTTATTTATTCCTTACTTAAATCTAAATTCTAGATCCAAGGGCTTGAAGCGCTCTAATCTTCGCGCCGTTATCCAGAAAACCTTACAAGTATTTAGTCTATTTTTAATAATTACATTACCATGATTCAATAATCTTATAAATTTATTTGTATTCTATTAATTTTAAACTTATTTTTTTAATTTAATTATATAATTTTTCAAATACTTTAAAACTTGAGTAAAAATATATTTATTATCGCAAAACTCACAACTGCTCGCTATGAGCTTAGCGATAGGATTTTTGTTAACATATTATGCATTTTAGAGAATAATTATATATGTGATTTATATTCAATTAAAATAAAAATAGAACTTATGAGAAACTTATGATTTATTGAATTGTGTATTTTTATTGTGTATTTATAGAATTTTTTTAATGTCTGAATTTACGTGATTTTCCGTTTCACGTGAATTTCTTTTACGCGAATGAAAGTTGTGTAAATAAAGTCTGTATGTACAACAACAAAAAATGGAAAAAAAAAGCTAGTATAAGTTTTGGAAATACATATTTATTTCATATAGCTTAACAAACAATAATTGTAACATTTCAGAAAACAAGAGTAAATTCGCTATCACTATTATGTGTGATTTTTTTTTAATAACTCTTGCAAAATTGTCCCTGATGAAAAACCTGCAATAAGACAGACATAAGAGAATTAAAATAAATTAGGAATGTATCATAGATAGTAAACTAATTATTTCGATATTTTTGTTTTCTTCATATCGAATTCGCATTCTAGATTGGTTCATTCCACGATAGAACAAAAAAAAAGATGATTCACGGTCCTTAACAAAGTTTATTATTGTTTACAATAATTAGTTTTCTCTGAATAAACGTTATACATCGTTATTTACAAAAAATTTAAATGTATTATAAAAAAATGAATAAAATATATAATAAATAATACAGGTTCTATTGTACTGTTTTTATGTTATCTTTTAAATATTTGTAGAAATAAGTATAAATATATTAAATATTTACACATTTCTTTAATCTTTTGCACTGTTTGAAACCGGTAACGAAAAAAATAATTTGAAATGTACTTTCCACAGTTCAATAATTTATATTTGATCGACATAAAGGTTTATATTTGTAAATTATATATTAGAGTGAATTAAGTAATGTGCTGTGATCTTTCTTCGTAAATCAAAGGTGAGTTTTTAAAACTCATGAACATATTTTAGATGTAACGGGAAATTGTTACCTTATTTTCAGAAATTGGTTATTTGCAGCGAATAGCACGGATTAGAAAGATCAGGCAATAAAGTTGACAACTATAAATATCTTCAATGCAATATAATGTAATTAGGGAAAATATACTTGGTTTTGGGTAGCAAATATTACCTATATTGTCACATACTTGCGATTTCAACAAAAAAAATTGAAAAATATAAGTAATATAAAACTAAATTTAGCTAAAAATAATTGTTAACAATGTATAATTTTAAAAGAAAATTCAAAAAATAATTTAATTAATAATAATATTATGTTACAACAAATTTTCAAAATACTTTCAATTTAAACTTATTTTAAAGTACCTTTTGGTTTATAACTTAAGAAGGGGTTATAAAATATTTACATATTGAGCACAATAAAACTAAATCGAATTCGGAGAAATGTTTCAAGTTTAAAACACCATAATATTTTGAAATATTTTTGAAATTTGCAATCGGGTGGGGATGAAGTAAGACTACTACGACGGAAGAAAGTACGAATATTCTTCATAACTTTGTCGAAGATGAATCGTGCAATGAACAACATGGAAGAAATTGTACCGATCTTGGATGAAAATGTGCATAGTGATGTCACCGAAAATGCAAGTGCAATCATGGAACACGAATCGCCATATGTGATGGTCAGTGACATTCAAGTAAGGAACATTGAGGAAATTGTCCCCATTTTGGACGACAATGTTTATATTGATGTCTCCGAAAACGCAAGTGCAATTTCGGAACACGAATCGCCATATGTGATGGTCAATGTTCCGCAATGCTCGAACCAAGGGAATGTATCTCCAATCATGTACAACGATCGGTTCACGGATAAAACCGAGGTAAGTGTAATATTTTATAGAAGGTTCGGCGAGAAGCCGAAGAAATTTACAGATTTGGAATAATAATGTTTTTAGGATACGTACGAGACTTTGCCGGAAATCGATGATATTATGTCCGAAAGCGACGATATTTCAGAAGAAACCGACGAGGATCCTGTTCATTCGATTAGCGAACTATCAGAGTTTAGTGAAACAGCAGAAGAGTTACAGAAAGAATTAAAAATCCAGCAAAACATCATCGTACAATCTAAGAAAGCGCTACAAGCCTCAGCCGATTATAATTTCAATGGTAGAATCGAAGAGATGGAAGCGAGACGTTTTCTTTTAATTGCCGGTAAGTTTACACATAATGATCACTCGATTAATCAATTAAACGATTGCATTTTAGAAACGACGCGCAACATGATTGAGGAGAGGCTTCGTAATATAAGTCTAGACTTGGAGGGAAACGGTGTGGTCAAGTTTAAGAATTTTAGGTTCTCGAAAAAGTCCATGAGCGTGAAGCTTCTTACCAAGGTCTTTAAAAAACAGAAATCCGAAACGCGATTGTGGTTTATGATCATGATGTCTTACGGAAAAGTAGTGTCAGCGAACAAAGTGTTAGAGAAATCCGATCATATCGTGTTCGAAGATGAACTTGTTTTTGAGCGACTGCAAGTAGATTTCGATCTCACTATGTATCTTTATTGCGTCAGTTTGAAGAAAGAACCGAAGAAGAAAAGCGGGAAATCCGTTGAGAACTATTGGGATTTGGCAGCGAAATTCGTTTTTGATAAGGACGATTTGAGGTCGAATAATTTGGTGTTGTAAGAAGTTTCGGAAACGTGTCCGTTAAGCGGGTCTTTCGATGTGGAGGTACAGATGGACGTTCAGATCAACGATACGTTTTCAGGCTTTCTGGATATTAAGACGCATTGGAAAGGTGAGAATATCTGGAGCCATAGTTGGTGCATCTTGAAAAGCACCAAGCTGTCATTTTACAAGTATCCGGGAGACGTGGAGTTCTTCTACGAGATAGATTTGAGGAAGAGTAAAAAGAATAAGGTTGATCAACCGGATCGCGCCGAATGTCCGAGACGGAAGTCTCTGGTGCTGCAGACGAAGATTGGGAACGGCGTGAGCTCGGATTACATATCGGCGGATTCATGGGAGTTGATCAACGAGTGGGAGCGCAATATCAATACTGCATTGCAGCTCCTGAAAGATTGGTGCTAGATGATCGCCGTTGCGTAATGGTTATTTGGCGCCGGTCAAAGTTGATTTTCAGGAGATTTTTCTTACATTTTTTTCCTCTTTGTGTTGCCGGGACCCTCTTGTGTTCAAGTGCGGTTGGTGGTCTTTCTTGAGACGGGCGCCGATAAAAGCGGAGAATTCCAAGAATGAAAAGGCGAGAGATAATAGCACATGTTCTGAGCCTCACACTCAACACACATATTCATACGAATTTATACACGAACGAGCCTCTCCAAGAGTAGAGACCGTCTGGATGAATATAAATAATCGCTAAATATAGGCTTATCTCGAAAATTTTCAAATAAAAATAAATTGAGACCCATTAGACCCGATAAATACCAACGCAATTGCGCGTACAAGAGGGGACGAAAAACTTTAAGAGCTAGTGTACATACTAATAAATTGTTTAAGTATATTTAGATTTGTAAATATAGGTGCTATAAACAAGTAAATTTAATTCTTACAATCGTTTTTAATTTATTTTTTAATTAACTATTTATATTAGCAGTAACCTTACCAATGGTTTCACAACCTTTTTGCCGCACGACCCTACATTTTTCTTATACTACGGCCCAATATTAGGTTGAAAAAAGCTGATATAAAGTGTTTTAACAAATCCCAATAATTCGATCTTCAATTGCATTATGTTTTTCTAGCATCTAATTAGACTATAATTAGATATATATTAATTATACAAACAAATAACACATTATCATTTAATACATTTTTAAATGTGTCCATTTATAGTAGCTTTAACTCATCTATTATATATATAACGTCTCTAAGCTTTTCTCGTTCAAATACAATTTATTAATTTGGATAAGCAATCACGTAATGAATGCCATAACTATATTTAAATGATCTTTGAACGAATCACCTAATAGAAACATTATTTATTCCACAATTGTTATTGTTTAGGTAAAGAGTTTAACCGATTCGTTTACACACAGCTAAATTTAGTATATAAATGATTATCATTATAAAATGGAATAACAAAATAATATTTAATAAACTGCAACATACAAACATAGTCATGCCTTTTTTGTGTATGTATTTAGTTCCGCGATTAGTCCGGTTTCAATGTTATATAAGTACAAAGCTAACCATTATATATTATCATTAATAATCAACACAAATAAAAAAATACGTCTATAATAAATTCAAGTAATTATAGTGTTATTTTCAAATTGAGAATATTGAAGAATATCTGGATTATGGTTGTCGAAATTTCTAATGTCGTGACTTTTATCCCACCGCATATTACAAATAAAATATTATACCAATATACAATAATAAGCATCTTGCTTTATTTTAATTAAATTAAAGTACTTATTATTTTAAAAAAATATTAATGGAAATAAAATGCATCGTAATGTATCTAGGGTTTAATGAATATATATGTAAATGTATTCTCGTAAGACTTTGTAACTAATTAACTGCTAATTACTTCTTTACATTTTTTTGTCAGTGCATATTTTTTTCTATTCACGATATCTGTATTTAAAATAATAGAAAAAAATAGTATTCATTTTATAAGAGAAAATAATATAAAAAAAAACGTAAAATATTTGTTTTATATATTGTTGATGATCAAAAACTCTAGAAATAAATATTGCGTTCACATAGAAATTAGAATCTTAAATAATTAATTAATTAATATTAATTATTGAGCATATTCTAAAAAATAAACAAATTTTGACAATAAAATTCACTGTGTTTAAAATTAAAATAAATTTATTTTTATCTAATAATGATAATATTTATTATAAAATAAATAAATACATTTTTATAATTCAAATCATAACATAAAAGTGATTATAAATATAAGATCAATTAAAAGATAAAAAAATACCTAAATTTATAATTAGATAAATAGGAAATTTCAACTCTTAGCTTTTCTGATAAAACATCTACGGCTTGAGATACTTGACTTTTGATAATCTTATAACATTTTTTTTATTTGATGACTCATTCACAACGACCAGAATTAGATTCTTCTCGTTCCACATATACTTCAGTCAATTATTTTAGTAGTATCTTCACCAAAATGCCTAATGGAACATTTATTTTTGTTATTTATATCAGTGATTTTCAAAGTGTGGGTCGCGTAAAATATAATTATAAATAAAAAATTAATAATGTTATTATGTTTTTGTTTTTCTACACATAAACATTCTTCGGGATGTCGCAGAAACTATTTGTGACCAAAAGGGGGTCGCGGATCAAAAAGTTTGAGAATCACTAATTTACGTTATAAAAAAATATTAATGCATTTGCAAGTTTTGTTTATTCACATGATATTTATATTCACATTTAACTGCGTAAATTGTTTGAAGGACAGGTCAGTGTTAGAAGCTTTAAAATGTATAAATGAACCAACTTACAAATGTAAACATGGGAACTTGGTAAAACATTGAAGAATAGAACTCGGCTTTCGTTAAATTGGAATAAACTGGAAATAAAGAAAATAAAAGAGCCCGGTCCTTCTGGCGCAGAAATTATGGATATAGAAATTTTATCATAGAACATATTTTTTCATGTTGTATGTTCCGTCAATATCCTGGATTGTTTAAACCCGGACTAATTGAGGATATTAAAACAGCAAACAAATAACCTGCACTAAATGAGACTTAGGACAATGGAAACTTATGTATAAAAAAAATAATTTTGTGTACTAATTTCTTAGAATTTGTTTTTATTTTATCAATTTAAATTTAGTTTGTTGTTAAATGATCTATAGTGGATCCGGTCTTAACAGAGCCGCAATATGCGAGTTGTATATGTTTACTACTTAATATATGGTACTAATGGAATTATATGTTTTAATTAAATAAATAATTAGTAGTAACGTGCGGTCGATTTCATTGTCAACATCTCGTCATTTCTCTTTCTCTCGTTTTTTATTTCCTCTTTATTAATAAAACACGCTTTTGAGGTGTAACGAATGCGGAATTAGAGTCTATTGCCCACAGTGACGAGGTCATGTCCACCGATGCAACCGAGATTCCTCCAGCTTCGGTACACATCTGACTCGTCGTTTGAAAAAAAATAGATAGAGTAAAGGGGAATCAGAGTCAATTAGATTTCGTTTCGTTTATCTTTTTTTCCTCTTGTACTTCTTCGAAGGATACGACTTCGAATGCGAGGAGAACTAATAATAATACACGACACGACGAGAGATATTATGAATCACTCATTCCATTCTGACTAATAACACGCGCGTTCCACAACTGGTGGAACAACTTGTTCAGTTCACTTGGCTACTTGGTCCCGGATAGTTGTGTTATCTCGCGTTATACAATCCGAGGCTATTTTTGTTATCCGTTTTTTTTTTGACATCAGAAAGTGATATATCTCTCATAGGAACAATAGAAAAGTTAAAGTATGCGGTGAAAAGTGACATCCGGACGGCATGTTTCCAAAGACATCGAAGAGACGAACTCCCTCTCATGAGAAAAAAGGTTCGTGCGTGAATTACATCTTGAGAAAATCCCACATGCGAAAAATTAAGTACAATTGCTGGGCGGCAATTCAGGAAGAAATTAAAGGCAGAGCGAAAAAAGTTAAGAGGGCGGATAATTTTACATTCATTCATTCATTCATTACCAGTGTTGCGTATGGCTTAATGAAAGAAGACTATAAGAATGCGTCGAATACATGCGATTGATGGGCCGACGGCAAACTGCATTCCAAATTGGAATTTTCCGGCCACAATCCATGAATCACGACGGACGGACACGCACATTGACGTGCTGCAAAGAATACGAAAGTTAAAAAGCAAAGTATGAGGAAACCGGGGTTTCGATATCCCGAAAACCCTCATTTTTATATCACAAATTTCCCAAAAATCTTACGCACACCAATTACGGCGAATTCAGCTGAATTGCAGATGACTCCTCTAAACAGTGGAACCTCGCTTAACGAGCACCTCGCATAACGAGCAAAATGAGTTGTAAGAAAAATGACTCGCTTAACGAGCGACGTTTCGTAAAACGAGTGACGATTGTGCGCCATCATTTTTAAAACTTGTGTACACATATTATGTGTATTTTTGAATATATTCCACTATGCGAGTATTTCACTGTACGAGTAAAAATCTGGAAAATTTTGAACGGATTTAACTTGTTAAGTGAGGTTCCACTGTATTATAACGTTTAAAGTAATGCTCGATCCCTAGAAAGCGTTAATTAGCGGACTTGATTTTTTTTACGGAAATTAATAGACGTGACTGGTACTGTATACAATTTGTTATCGAATTAATGCTGGAATACTGCGTACCGACAATCTCCCGAGTGAAATATTATGCATATTTACTCGATTTCGTAGAAAGCGGCTCAACTTTAATAATTATTAGATATTATAAAGTTTAATGTATAATACTTAACTTAAGTAACGTTTACAATAAAATGAGTTTCAAATGGCCGAGACGCATTCATGCATTTCGTATCTACGATCTTCAATGGAAGCACGATTTTATCTGCGATTCCCTGAAACTATTTCATGGAGCGCAATGAAATATTAACTGAAGCTTTGTTTGTTATTTTTCTTCATCTATAAGTAATATTTTGAATAATACAAAATCTATCTTGAAAAGACGAATTTATTATAATATAACTTAATATAAAAAGTTAATTCAACCGAGATTTTGTAAAAAAAAAAACGGAACCGGTACTTTATTTTCAAATGTTTACTTAAATTGTATGATTATAAGATAATAAACATAATTTCCGTTGTTGCACTTAAATTCTATATTTGTCTACTTTATTAACTTAAGTTTATAAATTATTAACTTTTATACTGTTTCCATAGAAATCATTTAAATTCACGGTAATGATATTTAGTAACCTTGGTAATAAACTAACTATATTTAACAAAATATTCCATACACACATTCACAGTTCAAATTATTCGTGGAAATAAGATGCGTCTTAAGGTTATGTTTAACGTTTGATTTAAATCAAGTGTATTTATTTTACTACGACTCATATCTAGAATCATCAATGGATTTGTTGCCTGTCTGTGCATTCCACGGCGCACATATAAAAGTACATAGTTTAAGTAACAAAATAAATTATCTCCGTTAACTTAGGAAACATTTCAATCTGATTGTGGACCCTCGATGATGAATACATTCAAAAGACTGTTCAAATGGAATTCCGTTTTAACCAGTGTTTCTCGACCATTGTGCCGCGCGACCCCACATATTTGTTTGTAGTCGTACTGCGATCCAAATGCTAACAGGTTTTCACCTGGCTTTGACACTTGTTGACAACTGTCATTTTGTGTCCCTTTTAAAATTTAAAGCGGACCATAGGTTGAGAAATTCATAATAATATTAAATAAAATGAAAAGCTATGTTTTTTTATATAACCAATAGACATTTTACCATATGTTAAAATATGTTTCTTGCTATTAATAGATTATATTTTAAACAATATCAAAAACAATTGAAATAAGCTAACGAGATTAACAATCATCGGTGAGTCATTTGCGTCTAGTTGATTCTGAAAGTACTTTAGATAAATATTATTTATGTTATTGCTACAATAATAATGTTATTTAAATACCCATGAATTAACTATTATATAACTTTTTTATCATTCATTCATGTAAATACGTCTTAAAATTGATTACATTTATATATTTTATTTTGGAGTATTTTGCTTTTTTTTAAATATAGTTTAATATTTTTTTCAGGTTTATTCTACATGAAGCGTAACATATTATAAGACACTTTTGATCTTAATATTAAAAGCGTTACGAAATAATAAATAAGCATTTTATTCATTAGGTATTATATTACATAGCGTTTATATAACAAAATTTAATGATAAAACTATAAAATAATATTAATAATCATAATAAATAATAATTTATTGCATACTTGTACATATACATTGAGCTAAAAATAATAATCTTATGTTGATTACACGTTCCTGGAATTATTTAGAATAATTGTTTAAATTAATAATGTTGAAAAACAATTAATTAAAATGTAAATTTGATATCCTATACATGTAGTAATAGAAAAATATGGAACAGAAAAAAAATATAATGGAAATATAACAATTAGTTCGACTTAATGTTACTAAAAATAGTTCAAAAGAAACAGACAAATCTATTTTTGGTTGAAATTATGTATTTTGTGTAAATCTAAAGTCGAGTATGTTGAAGAAAAAAAGGTAGTTAGTTAATGAATAATACGTGTAAATGAACGCACAGTATACAATAGAAAACGTAAAACGATCATTGATAAAGTAAACTTAGACGCGGCGATTGTTAAATGTTTTGATTTAAGCCGAAGACGATAAAGTAGATTGGTTAACCGTTCCAATCGCGTCTTAAATGCCACCGCATGAATCGTTTCATTCTGGCTTTGTTGCCAAGGTAATTGAATGAATAATATTACGGTTCATGTTTGTGTGGATTTCGGACTTTCGACGGTGCCAAAAGAACGTGTTCTCATGAACTGCAAGAAATCATTAATTTGTGCTTACCTCTTCGTCCGACACTAACGAAACTATGTTTATTAAATACTGTTCTGTAGATGTTGTCGACCGTAGAAAGAAGTCAGTCAGCGGCTTTGGAGGAAAGGTAATTTAGTGATGGAATTAATGTTGGGTTCCGACTTTGCCCATTCTCGGAGATCGCCTTTAATGAATGCAACGAGAACTTTGTTGTGCAATTTATATTTTATTGTGGAGAATGGGTTGTGGTGCATTTGTATGTATATGAAATAAATTTATGGGCGACTTCGATCAATTACAACGAACGAACGAACGCTCCGTGGCATTTATGAGTTTATTGTCAAACGTGTAAACTCTAAAAACGGCGATACTCGAAGGCTAACCACCGGCTAAGACAACAACAACAAGAACAGAGGGGAATAGAAACAAGAGTCGATTACGCAACGCGTATTTCTGTCCCAATGTAAATCCATTTCTCTTTCGCACCGGCGATTTATTTCTTCATTTTGCGCAACGATTGCACTGATCGATGGGTTTCGCTGAAAATGGGATTGATTAGTGGATAATGCGAGCTTTCTTTAGTCTCCGATTGAGATCTGCACAAGGAGGCGAAAAAAAAAGCAGCCTTGGCTTGATTTATTCCCATCGTTTGCATGTAAAAATAAACGCGTCTACTTCCTCCATGCAAACAGGGCTATTTCGAAATGTCTCGTTTAGATTTTTCTTTCATTTTTATCGGACTTCTTTATCGTCGTCCAATTGCCCGTCGCATTTCAATTGTTATCACTGTTTGTTTACGTCTTCGGCGCGCGGAATAAATATTGTTTTGAGCGATGATTGTAAGCGGAAAAGGCAAGGCGGGAACGAAGTGAAGATGAAAAAACGCAACATCGTCGAACACACAATCGGCGCACATGTGTTAATCACTTACTAACAGCTAAATCAAATGAAAATAACATTGAACCTTCGCAGAGGCAGAGAACATCGATGAACATGATGGAAATCACGAATCATTACGTAAACGCATGTTTGTTTACATACTGACCTCCATGCGGCTATAAAACTTGCAGCATTTGAATTATTTCGTAAATATCTGAAAAATCTGCTCATGCATTTTCAAATTAATCGAAGAAGATTAGACATATTAGTCATCTTTCTTGTAGATAAATAATTTGAAAAAAATAATACATTTTGCAATAAGTCTACTGATAAACAAAATGGATTTATAATACTAATTACTATAATTAATTGCAAACATAATAAATCTATATGTTGAAATATATTTTATTTGTAATTTTGAAACAAATCGTTTTTAGTTCATGAGTGAGACTTGCTTCTGCGTGTGCCTTGAATGTAATTAAGATTGGTTACTTGTTTTTTTTTGTTTGTTTTAATTTTCACCAGTTCAATTTATTATTTTATGTAAACTAGATAGCTGAAAAAAAATAACATGATTTTTTTTTAAATAATTGTTCTAATGAATATGTTCTCAGAACTATTAATACGTTGCAAATTTTATATATTTTTATTATTCATTTAATTATTGAAATATGTATTATTGTGTTATTAGTGTTACATGGATTTAGCATTTTTGTTTTGTGGCTTTTTGCATTCGTTTTGAACATATCAAACCATACTACATGTTTAGTGAATGGTATACTTATTTTTTTTATTAAACTATATTGCTCCATCTTTCGATCAGTCAAATAACTAATTCCTTTTAGAAAAAAATATATTAGTGTCTAGATTTTTATTTAATATACTTATAATTATTATATTTTCTTACAATACAATTCAAGCAAAACTTTAAAAGTTTTCTTCTCAATAATGATCACAACAATATTTTATGAACAACATCAATATCTCGGTTCTTACAACTTTTAAAACTGTACACATCAATGAACGATCAAAACGTTTTATAATAAAATATTGTTGTGTATTAATACAATTGACCGCATTGTGTACTATTTTTTTAGAATTTATTTTATCTTACG